GGTCTTCTCTTGGCCATAGAGACCTGAAGGTCTTCTCTTGGCCATAGAGGACCTGAAGGTCTTCTCTTGACCATAGAGGACCTGAAGGTCTTCTATTGGCCATAGAGGACCTGAAGGTCTTCTATTGCAAAAGAGGACCTGAAGGTCTTCTATTGCCCAAGAGGACCTGAAAGCCTTCTATTACCTATAGAGGAAGGTCTTTATCTATTAGCCGTAGAGGGGTAGGAGATCTTCTATTGGTTATAGAGGACCTGAAAGCTTTCTATTGGTCATTGAGGACCTGAAGGTTGTATATTGGCCATAGAGGACTTGAATATCTTCTATTGGTCATAGAGGACTTTTATCTGCCCCACAGGACCTAAATGTCTTCTGTTGGCCATAGAGGACATGAAGGTCTTTTATTTCGCAGAGACGACCTGGAGGTCTTCTATTGGCCCTGAAGGTCTTCTGTTGGTCATAGAGGAGCTGAATATCTTCTGTTTAATTTAAGATACAGTGAGGCCTCATATTTACTATGGAGTGCCCCTAGTTTCTTAAGAATATATTTCCTACATGAGTACTTGAGATCTCCTATTTTCCCTAAAAGACCTTAAGGCATCATAGGCTTTGAAATCTTTTATTTCCTTTATGTCCTCCTTAGGACCTTAAAAGACTTCGTATTTCTTCCTTCGGTGTTGTTTTCTATTCTGTACTGCAGACCCTGAATTGTCTTCCATTGGAGTCGTTCTTTTTTCTTAGATGACTTGGAGGTGTTTTACAGTTCGTAGAAGACCTTTACGTCTTCTTCTGTCCATAGAAGTCCTGCAGGTCTTCCATTGTGTCCTTATGAAATGCACTGTTCCCCTCCGCCCATATGTCAAACATTTATGCCCACACATGCCGGTATGGGCAAGCCTTTGAATTATTAAAATATGTGTATGTGTGTGTGTTCGCTTTCTCTCTGAAGTAGTTCCTTTAGTCTTCCAGTTGTGTTTTTTTCCTTCTACTATTTGAACAAAAATTGTTGTGGTAATTATGCAAAAGGTGATTGTCCTACCCAAGCCAAACACTGTAGCTACAAAAAAACGCAACGACAGGGACAACAAAAAAAAAAAAACCCGGCAAAAAAAGAATTGCAGCAGAAATTAAAAACAACAATAACAGAGAGAGAGCCCGAGAAGAAATGCACAAAAATACAACAACATAAGGAGAAGAAGCAAAAAAAAAAACAGAAAATCTCGGCAAGGAAAAGCTCTTAGTCTTCATAAAATAATCGAGGAAAAAACAACAACTACAGCAGCATCAACAAAAGAGGGTTGGAACTGCATTGGACCAGGGAACTCCTCACTTGGCATTATTATTATTATGCAACCGTCAAAAAAAATCCTTAAATTAAGAGAAGCGAGAACACCGAAAAATAAAAGAAAAACTCCCCTCGCCAAATTCTGAGGAGTACCCTTCGTTTCGTTTGTCATGATGCAATTTTTGTCGTTGTTTTTGTTGTTATTTTCTACTACTACTTCTTCTTCTTCCGCAGTGTTCTTCTTTAGATGGGCTTTGTTTCGTTCGGTTTGCTGCACTCACTACGAAATGCATATGAGCAACAGCGCTGGAGAAAAACGAAAATAACTACGGCGGCGGCAGCGGCAGCATTAAGAGGAGAAACACAAACAACGCCGACCAAAAAACGACAATGACAAGCAACCTCATCATCGACAAGAATAACATGGGCCAATGGAGGGACTGGGCTGAGCAGTGGCCTGAAAATAACATCAAGGAGTGCAGCAGGAGTTGAGTTGCGGGGCTGGTAGCAGGGGGGCCATAGCTATAATGAATTTTATATTTACTGCAAAAAGTCAATTTTAAACATTAAAATTTAATTCACTTGAGTTGTTCGGAAAAGGAACAGCAGCAGCAACAACGGCAACGACGTTGCAACTCTTCGACATTCGTTGCAAGTCCTTGATATGTTGTTCCCTATTGGGACCCTGTGTGTACTTGCCTGGCCTTTTACATTTGATGTTCTTTTTATATTTGTTCGCTCTCCCTCTCACTCCCTCTCTCCTTTTCTCTCTTCCACTCTTTTGAGCCAGACTATGAACATTTGAATGTAATGACTGCCATTTGAATTTGCAACATGCAGCGTGCCCTCATGCCCCTCCTCACACTTGGTAGGACCTCTCCTCCACTGGCCCTGCATGTGTTTGGCTGTAATTCCGTTTTCAATGTATTTGTGTTTAGAGTATTTTAATACATTCAAGCATATCCTTCCGTTTCAATTGACAATAGTATGATGTTGCCAGGGGTAAAGGAGGCAGATGGAGGGCAACCTTAGTGCCGCACGAGCACGTGAGAAAGCTTTTAGCTAATTTTTATCTATCTCAAAAGAAACGATGATTGCTTCTTTGGCCCCTTCAAAGTGGGGATGATAAAGCGTTCCTCTGTGTACTTTGTGTGCTTCCCTCTTAGTGGCACTGCAACTGGAATTACTTTCGTTGTTTTTGTAATTCCATTGAAAAAAAGCTAAAACGAGAGAAAAGACAGCGGGCAAACGTGCTGATTTCTGGATTTTCTATTCCCATCATCTACGGCTGTTACGGTACTTTAGTACCGGCATAAAGTGCTGCATTTGCAATGCAGCTCATATCGTACAGGGGCAATAAATTTAACATCACTTTTATCATTTTATTATGCTTTGAATATCTGGGGCTGGCCATTATGTCAGCCCCCCACCCCTCCCTACGCTTGAAAGTCAAACCCTTGCCAGCCCATATCTTTCATTGAATTGGTGTTTCAACACTTATGCATAGCTGATAAACAGTAATGCAACAAAACGCTTAAAAAGAAGTTCATGGAAGGTAGAAGGTTTGCAATGCAGTTTTATATTCCGTAAAGCACTTCCTCCAAAACTACTATGCGCAAAAAGGGGTCCACAATAGCAAGCGATAGCCTTTCAGGTCTTTTATAACGGATAGGGGGCCTAAAGTTCCTCTAAGGAAAATGAGAATTCACGGCCTTCTTCAGCAAATAGGAGACCTAAAAGTCTTATATTGCTAATAGGACATCTGCAGGCCATCTATTGCCCATAGGAGAACTCAAGGTCTCCAATTAGAAATATAAGACCGATTGAAGACCTTGTGGTTTAGAAATAGGAGACCTCAAGATCTTCTATTGGAAACGAAAACCTAAGGTCTTCTATTGGACATTAGAGACCTCAAGCTCTCCTATTACAAATATTGCAAGTGGGATACCTCAAATGACAAATAGAAAATCTCCAGCTCTCCTATGGCAAACAGGAGATCTCAAGCTCTCCCATAGCAAACAAGAGACATCTTGCTCTCCAATTGCAAATAGGGGATTTCAGGAACTCTTCTATTTGCAATGGTTCTCCTCTGGCAAAAAGGAGACCTTTAACTCCTAACAAAAAGGAGACCTAAAGGTTACAAAAAGCAGACCACAAGCTCCACTTTGGCAAATAGGAGATCTTAAACTTTCCTTAAGAGACCAAGCTGTACTATGGCAAATGGGAGACCTCATGCTCTCTCATCGCAAATGGGAGACCTCAAGTTCTCCCATCGCAAATGGGAGACCTCAAGTTCTCCCATCGCAAATGGGAGACCTCAAGTTCTCCCATGGCAAATAGGAGACCTCAAGTTCTCCCATGGCAAATAGGAGACCTCAAGTTCTCTCATGGCAAAAAGCTCTCCCATTTCAAATAGGAGACCTCAAGCTCTCCCATGGCAAATAGGAGACCTCAAGCTCTCCCATGGTAAAAAGCAGAGCTCGAGTTTTCCTATGTCAAATAGGGAACCTCAAACTTTCCTATGGCACCTATGGCAAAAAGTAAACCTTAATGTCTCCTATGGCTGATAGGAAACCTCAAGCTCTCCTATGGAAAATAGGAACCCTCAAGTTCTCCCATGGCAAATAGGAGACCTCAAGTTCTCTCATGGCAAAAAGCTCTCCCATGGCAAATAGGAACCCTCAAGCTCTCCCATGGTAAAAAGCAGAGCTCGAGTTTTCCTATGTCAAATAGGGAACCTCAAACTTTCCTATGGCACCTATGGCAAAAAGTAAACCTTAATGTCTCCTATGGCTGATAGGAAACCTCAAGCTCTCCTATGGAAAATAGGAACCCTCAAGCTCTCCTAGGCAAATGGGAGACCACATGAGCTCGCCTGTGGGAAATAGTGGACCTCAAGCTTCCCTATTTCAAATAGGATACCTTAAGCTTCCCTATTGCAAATAGGACACCTAAAGCATTCCTAGTAAAGCAAATAGGAGACCTCATGAACCCTTCTGTGACAAATAGGATACATCAAGCTCTCCTATGACAAAAAGGAGACCTTTAAGTTCTCTTATGACAAATAGGAGACCTCAAGCTCTCCTTTGACAAATTGGAGAACACATTAGCTCTCCTTTGGCAAAAATGATACCTTATGAGCTCTCCTATGGTAAATAGGAGAGCTCTTCTATGGCAAATAGGATACCTTAAGACCTCTCCTATGGAAAATACGAGACCTTAAGAGCTCTCCTATAGCAAATAGCTTTCATAGGTTTCCATTGCCTTTAGGTCTTCTATTTATATCCGTTTTTTTTTTCCAGAATTTGGTATATCTGATATTGCAACTTAATTCTCAAAGGCTCATGTGTCAATTTCGTTTTCTCCCACCTCTTTGTTTGACAAACCACCCTCCCACCTCTGAACCAAGCACATGGCCGTCATGCATATTTGGTTTTAACTGTTTTTAGCATTTAATTGAAGCTGTTATATTTGTAATCGTTGTTATTGCTGTTGCTGTTGTTGTCATCGTTTTGCCAGTGTCAGTATTTTGCGGGTAAAATGTCGAAACAATTTCACACATTTCCACAAGGCTCGAGCAGCAAAGCATATCATCGTCATCATCATAGTTTTTTGTGGTTTCTCTCACAGGCTAGGCCAGGCCAGGCATTGCAATTTCATATTTAAATAATGCATTCATGATCACTTTTTTCCGTTTTTCTCTCTTTCTATTCCACAGATACTTCGTGACATACGCAAGGGTTTACTGCAAATGGGCCGGGAAGGCAAAATAGGTAAGTGTTGGTTGTTGATTTTTTTCTCTCTCTCTGAAAAGCAATAAAAATAAAATGGAAAAATATTTTATTGCAAATAATGGCATAGCACTGGTGGTGTTGATATTTTTATAAATTTATTTACGTTTTTTCCGTTTTTTGCTCTTTGGTGTTTTTTGGTTTGCAGATGACACCTACATGTACGATGATGCTTTGCGAAGTGGTCCCCACTATGCTGTTAGTGGTATCCATCCCCAGGGTCATTGGTACGATGAACCTCCCTATGAAAGTGATCCAGATGATTTCCTGATGTCAGGACTCAATTATGGGCCAGCGGCCACAATACAGGTGTGTATCAGAGTGTGTGTGTGTGTGTGAACAACGAAAAATGTTTACCAAACAACAAAACCTTTAAATTGCTCTTTAATTTCTCTTCTACACGGAACTATCACAGCGCATTAGTAAACTATCTGAATATCTTGACTCCCAATGCCACCCACCGACTCACTCATTAACTTCAGCCTACTGCTGCTACCTGGCATATCCTGCCACTAATTGATGCCTTGCTTCATTTAACATTTAGCAGTGAACTCTTCGGCAGCGAGTCATTTACCGAGTAGCTGAGATGTCATTGAACTTTGTTGACCCCTTTCGGATGCCCAAAGAATGCAAAATAATGACTCGTTTCGTGTGTTCAATACCCACATTGACCAAGATCCCAAGGGCTATTTGTGGTGCTCTACCAAAAATGTACTTTTTTCATTTTTTGGGTGGTGCTTCAATGCAATTGCCTCACATATGCAGGGAGCAGTAGGGCAGAAGACGATATCATTGGTTACCAAGAATACCCTTTTTTGGGGCACATTACCTAGAAAAGTTTGGGATGGTCGTTGTGAGGAAACACTCCCTTACATTCATGGAATTTCGTATGCAGAATCCTAAAGGAAAAAAACAAAGCGGGATTTTTAAGCAGAATTTGAGGAATTTAGAAAGAATATGAAATATGAAAAGGGAAACTAAAAAATTAAGTCTTCTAGATAGCATTCGATCACACATCGGATGCTCATAAATAGGTAGTTCATATCTTATCGATAGCTTCTCCAATAACTCATCGATAATTTATTGGATGCTCGTTGATAGCTTGTGGATAGTACGTCCATATTTTATCGATAGTTCATCCATAGCTCGATTATAAGTGATAGATGGTGCGTGGAAAGCTTGTGAATAATGGCTCATCCTTTGATAATGGCTAATTATTTTATTGCTCATCGATATGTCATCAGCAACTTGACAGTTCGTCAATAGCTCGATTATATGTAATCGATATCTCCTCGTTATTTATCTATAGCAATATTTAATCTAAAACTCATCGATATCTCAACTAAGGCTCATTGATAGCTGTTTGATAATTTAACGATATTATGTCGATAGCTCAATGATAGTTTGTCTAAACCCTTCGATTGCCCCTCAATATCTAATCGATATCTCATGGATAGCCGATTTTTCATGGTTTAGAGCTTCTCGATAGTTCGTCAATACCTCATGGATAAATTTTGGATAGTTTATCGATAGTATATCTTTAGCTCAAGTTCTCCTGTAGCGAATAGGAGACCTCAAGCTCTTCTATGACAAGCTCACCTATGGCAAATGGGAGACCTAAAGCTCATGTATGACAAAAAACAGATATCAAACTCCCATATTGCAAATATGAGACTTCAAGCTCTCTCCTATGGCAAATAGGAGACATCAAGCACTTCCATAAAAATAAGAAATCTCAAGCACTCCCATAGCAAATAAGAGACCTCAAGCACCTCTTATAGCAAATAGGTTACTTCAGAATCTTCCATAGCAAATAGGTTACTTCAGGAACTCTCCTAATGCAAAAAGGAGTCCTTAAGAACTCTCCTATTGCAAAAAGGAGACCGCAAGAACTCTCCTGTGGCAAATAGGAGACCTCAAGGTCTTATAAAGCTAATGGGAGACATCAAGCTCTCCTGTGGCAAATAGAAGACCTCAAGCTCTCCAATTGGCATATATTAAACCTCAAGTTCTCCCATAGCAAATAGGAGACCTCAATCTCTGTTACTGGAAAATCAGGAAACCTCAAGCTCTCCTATGACAAATAGGAGACCTTAAGCTCTCCTATACAAATAGGAGACCTCAAACTCAAATATGCTCCCCGGTAGTTAATCGATTGACAACAAAAGCTGGTCGATTGCTCCTCGATACATATAGATAGATATAACATATCGATAGCTCATTTGTGGCTCATCGATAGTTCGTCGATTGCTAATCAATTGCTTGTCTATAGAGTTTAGATTGATCGTTCCTAACTCATCGATATTATATCGATAGCTTGTAGATGGTTCATCGATAGATGTGATAAAAGCTATTTGAAAGCTTCTAGATAGTTCGTAAGTAGCCCAACGTTTGGTCATCGATATTTTTGTTTAAAGCTTGAAGATAGTTTTTCGATATACTTCTAGTGCTTAGCTTATCGATAGTTCGACGATTGCTAATTAATAGATCGTTTATAGCTTATCGATTGCTTGTTCATAACTCGTCCATATCATTCCGATAGTTAAAGACAGTTCATCGATAGGTGTGATAAAAGCTGCTTGATATCTTCTCGATAGTTTGTCAATAGCCCACCGCTAGATCATCGATATTTTTTTCGTACCTTACCGATAATTTTTCGATATTCTATCGAATATTCTATATAAAATCGCGAAAACTCATCGAAAACGTAACTCAACATCAATGTATTGAAGCTTGTCAATAACTCATTGACAGTCTCATAGATTGCTCATTAAAAATTCATCGATAACATTTCGGTTGTAATTTGATAACATTGATATATTATCGATTGCTTATCAACAGCTTATCGATGTGTTATCGATAGCTCGTAAATTTCTTATTGCTAATCCATCGTTAGCTTATCAATTGCTTATTGATATCTCATTGATGACGCGTTGAAAGCCCTCCGAATGCACATCAAAACCCCATCCATGTTTCATTCATAGCTATTCGATATCGATAACATTGGAAGTTTATCGACGTCTCATCGATAATCCGCTGGTGGATAGATCATGAATAGCTCGTCGATACCTCCTCGATAAAGCATTCATAACTTGTCGATAATTCATATACAGCTCATCGATTGTTTACCGATAAGTCATCGATATCTAATTTATAGTTCATATTGATATTTAGTAATCTAATGTAATGTCAGATTATGAATTTATCATCGATAGCTCGCTAGTTGATAGATCGTAGATAGTTCGTCGATATATTACATCAACATTTCGTTGACTTTCATCGATAGCGCGTCGAAAGCCCATTTATAGCTCATCCATTCGTTGCTCATCGATAGCTTATCTGCTCCTCGTGATAGCTCATTAATATCGAAAACCTTGAAAGCTCGTATATTGCTCATTGATAGCTTGCTGGTCAATAAATCATCGATAGCACGCCTCAACGATAACTTAACGATATTTCATTTACAATTTACCGTTATCGATAACATTAATATATAACTCATCGATAGTGTACTGGCCGATAGATCATAGATACCTTATGTCTCATGGATAGCACGTCAACAGCTTGTCTGTAGCTTATCGATTGATCTTCGATAACTAATCGATATCTCATTCATAGTTCGCTTAATCTATAATATTTGTAGAATGCATATGTTCATTGATAGCTCGCTGTTCAATAAATTATCATCGGTTGTTCATTCATAGTTTACCGAGGATTATTTATAGCTTATCGAAAGATCGACGATAGGTCGCTGGGCAATACATTATCGATGACACAGGAATAGTTTACGACATTTTATTCATAATTCATTGTTATCGATAACATTAATAGATTATATATAACTCGTCGACAGTTTGCCGCCCAATAGATCATAGATAGCTGATGTATAGCTTATCGATTGTTCTTCGATAACTAATCGATATCCCATTCATAGTTCATCGTAATCTATAATATTCGTAGAATACATATTGGGCCATTGATAGCTCGATGCTCAATAGATTATCATCAAAATCCAATCCATTGCTCATTCTTAGTTTACTGAGGATTAGTAGTTACCTCATCGAACACTAAGCGATAGCTCGTCGAACTTCCATCTATAGCTTATCCCAAAATCGAGAAAAGATTGACAATAACCCGTGGGAAATTTATCGGATACCTTGTCGCTATCATCTGAAAAGCTCATTCGTATTTCATATGTAGCTCAGCGACAGGTCACAAATATTGTAACAATAGTTCTTCGATAGTATATCGATAATTGGTGAATATAACGACGATACCTTGGCTTTTTATAGACTTACTTTTTAGGTCTCCAGTTTTTTTTTTTACCTTTTTGTTAAAACCAGATTAAAATTAATTCGAAATGACACAGCAGTACGACCTGCTCCAACAACAAATTTCCAAATTTTCCTTTTAAAAAAATTGTAAAATTTTAAAAGAAAATCTCCCTGAAAATCCTGGGAAAAACATGTGTTTCAAATTGTTATGCTTCGCACAGAGCCACAATCAGACGATCAATGACTGCACTTTATTATACTTGTTATTCTATGCATGCATACATTGTAAGCCATATACATATAGCCATTTGTATTTAAGTGTGTGTGTGTGCGTAGCTGTGTGTGTGAGAATGCAACATATGTATGGATCATCTTGTATGCATTTTATGTGCCATTTACCAATAAAAATGTCATTCAACTAAATGTTTATTTTGTGGAAAAGTAATTCCCTGTCCCCTGTTTTTCTATCCCCTACGAAAAGTGTTTTGACAATCAGTTGGCATATATATGTGCGTGCATTTGTATGTGTATGGCCATATAAACTCCCTTGGCAATCTTATTTTGTTGCCGATCATCTTGGTCTTACATTTGTAATCCTTGGTGTGGTAGCTGGGTTTTGGGTTTTTTCCCCAATGGAATTAAGAAGTTTCTGTTTCGATTTTGAAAAAAATATGAAAATCCAAAAAGTCTCTGGAAAAAGTATGCACGCACACATTCTCACAACCAAGAAGAGTAATCCTAGAAGCCATTGCCCTTATGCCATCAGGCAAAAAGACATGTTGCAACTAAATGTTGCAGTCAATATAAAATGAAAGCTTATCATAGACACATGTGTAGTCAAGTGTTGGATGTCAGAAAAAAAGGTTAAATCCTGTTTTTTTATATAAGATATATGTGTGTGAGTGTGTGTGTGAGTGTGTGTGTGTGTGTGTAGAGTACATAAATAAAATAAAGTGCTAAATAAAGTAGAGTTTTTTTTTTTTTTTTTTTACAAAGATAAAGTATGATGGATTTGTTGTGCTTGCTTAAACTTCTAAAGGAAACAAAGTACTTGTATTGACATTTGTTAAATATTTTGTTTGGCTTGTTGTAATCGATTATGTTTTTTGTTTATCCTTCTTTTTCTCCTTTGCCTTGCAGGGTGGACGTGTACGTTACTCCTCGAATCGTGATAGCACCGGTGTCATTTCATTACGTTCAGCCGGTGATATTTCATTGCCACAACGAGCACCACCGCGAAGAGGTCTCATCTTACCTCAACAGCCACCAAATCCACCGACAATAATTCCTTTAACACATGCCAGGTAAGAGCTATATAAATACTTTACAAAAAAAAAAAAAAAAAAAAATACAATAACAATAACATCATAAAATCAACTCCTATGGAATGGGGGAATTATAACGCCTAGTCGTTTACGAGTATGGCCATCAATCTTTAGATGGATGGGAAAACAAAAAAATCAAAGGAGCTTATCAACGCTTTGTTGAAAATAATTCAAGTGTTACCCTTCACCTTCTTCTTAGGCTAGTCTACACATCATGTCAGAGACATATGTAAAGTGGATTTTTCAAATTTTTATTTTAGCAGTTTTGGGGCATACTTTTATGCGCCCTTCACATTTTTAAACAATGTAAAATGCAACGATTTGGATAATACTACTATTTATACCCTCCACCATAGTATGGAGGGTATACAGGGTTGCCCACATTCGACGGACCCATCTGGCAACCCCATAACTTTTGACAGAGATGTCACATCGCATACCGCGTTTGAAGCGTCAGTCCAAGCAGATTTTTACCATGAACCAATACACGCCACGCGAGCTCTCTGAAATAGTTGAAATTTACATTCAACAGAAGAATTCAATTGTGAAAAAAAAAATGTGAGAAGTGCGCCTTCTAAGAACACCATTAAGTGTTTATACGAAAAATTTTCGACTGGTAAGACTCTTTCTAATCCGAAGAGGGCATATAAAAGTCGACCAAGGAGATCGGCCGAGCCAGTGTTGAGAGGTCCCCAAGAACATCCCAAAAGCGCCGTTCTCAGCATTGATTTGCATTTGTTCCCGTACAAAATTCAATTGACACAAAGAATGTTGCCTGCGGACAAGCCTCGTCGATTGGAATGGGCCCAAAGCGCCCAAAGGTCCGTCGAATATGGACAACCCTGTATTAAGTTTGTCATTCCGTTTGTAACGCCTCGAAACATACATTTTAGACCCCACAAAGCATATATATATATTCTTGATCAGCATAAAATTCTATGTTGATTTAGCAATGTCCGTTCGTCTGAGGAAATCGCTCTAACTTCCAAACGAAATAAAGTAGGTTGTTAAAATTTTACTCAAATGTGTATTATGTCTGCAGGACTTTTGGTATTGAAGATGGGACATTTAGGTCCACGTCTTCGTACAGCCCCCATATAATGATACCTCCCTATTTTCAGTATTTCGGTGATTTAGGCTACATTATTCACCGGACATGTTTCAAATTTGGTATTTGAAGTCCGCAAAGGATACTACAGCCTATGACAGTGCAGTGCAGGTCCACGTCGTCGTATAGCCCCCATACAACGGTACATCCCGATATTCGGTATTTAAATGATTTTAGCGACATTATTTACCGGAATTGTTTTAAATTCGGTATTTGAAGTTCGTAATATATACAACACTCTAAGACAGAAAATTGTCTGTACATCCATATAACGGATCTGTGCTTCCGATATTAGGTGCAGCTTTTTTTGTTTAGTATAAATCGAATTTCAATTAGGGTTACCAATCTACTATTTTAATAAGAACATGTCGCACAAAGAGGTCGTTAGTTTCTGGCCACTAAAAGTTGATACAAAATAGTAATTCTACAAACGGAACTTAGTGATCAGAATAAATCAGAAATAATGCTGATAAACCGACACAAAGTCAAACGCCATCGAATGAAAGCTAAAAATCTCGGAAAACCATCAAATTTTTGAATAAGTTTAGATTTGTTCGAATTGGAACCTTTGGCACGAATTATGACCTTCAAACGGCCAATGAAACCACACTCTGCCCGAATGTTGTTTTGCGGTATTTTGGCCCATTGCCGACGAATCACTTGCTTAAGGTAATCGACACTTTGGTATTTTTTAGTACCAACCTTGCTTTCCAATATACTCCAGAAACAATAGTCCAACGGATCGGTATCCGGAGATTGTGGTGGCCATTGTGCACTGGAAATGAAGCGAGGAAACTCTGAGGTGGCGCGTGCTGAGTGCGATGGTGCTAAGTCCGGTTGGAATATCCAAGGTGTGTGGGCAAAATGTTTGCGTACCCAAGGCTTTAATACACCCTCCAGAATTTTTTCGCAATACTATTCGGAATTTATTCTGATGCCACGGCTGTTCCACGGAGTTCTGGTGGCCAACTGGAAGGTGCACATTTCCAGATGACCTCTTTGGCAAGTAAACACGATTATTTTGTTTGTTTACAAACTGCTGGACAACAAATTTTTTCTCATCGGTGAAACCCAAATTTGGCAGTTCAAGCAAAGCAACTCTTTAGCTTTTTTGAGTCTATTTTCTTTCAGTTGAGGTGTATGTTTTTGCACTTTTTGGAATTTCAATGGCTTGAACCCGAGCTTATTTTTCAATATTTGCCGAATGGAAGATTGCGATATGTTCAGCTGACGAGCGATTTTTCGGCCATTGCGAAGCGGGTTTCGATCAGGTCGCTTCTTTACTTTTCGAACCATTTCTGCTGATGTTGCTGTTCTTCGGCCCACTTCCTTGACGTCGAACTACGCTACCAGTGTCATGGTAACGAGCAATGTTACGAGACACAAAAGATTTATTCTCATTTAAATTCTGGAGTTCTCTAACGATAGCCACTTGTGGTTTTCCAGCCAAATATAAAGAAATCACACTATCACGCTTGAATTCCATCACGAATAACTTTTTTCTGGAAAATTCTCACCAACATGTCACTGGAATAATTTTAACAGCTGTCGGACGAGTGGTTTAGAAATGACAGTTTTTTTTCTTTCACCCTGTATTTTATATAGTGAACTTAAAACTTGAGAATTTCCAAGTTGTATACTTTTAAGTGTCATCTACATATTACGTATATATAATAGGAAATCCTTTTAATCCTTATGTTGTAATTACACAATTGCCAAATATTGTCTTTACAACATTTTTTATATTTTCTTCTTTTAGAGTTTACATTAAATATTGACAATTTACATTATGGAGTATTTACAATTTTATTTTAGTTTTTTGTCTTATAAATGTTTTTATATAGTTTGAGGCAAATTGAATGAGACACGTAAGACATAACATGTGTTTTAAGATTTAAATGGATTTTTTGTGTTTTTATAAAAAAAAAAAAACTGACAATAATTGAGTTGAAAGTTTGTGGTGAGAAGAAGATACTTTGTGGGGATTAGTGTAATGTAAAAAATAAAGGCATTAAATAATATCAAAAGCATAGTTTTAGGCATTTTAACTTTGAAATACATCAGGGGAAGACAACCAGTCGACAGAAGTAACACTTTTTCTACTTAATCTTCTTACAAGCCATCAGAGTATTAACCGGTGATTACATCAAAAATTAAATCTAATGTTTTGACAACATCCTGCAAAAGAAACCTTAAGGCCACTTTACACCCCATGTTGAAGTTATGTGTAAAATATATTTTTCATATAAATGATTATTTATATAGCATACTTTAAAGCGCGTTCAACAATTTTTAAACTAAAACGAATGCATTGCTAGAATTTTGAAATTTTGAACGAGAGTCAGTCTTGGTGCGAAGGCGTGAGATAAGATTGGTGTTTGGAAATTCGTAATAAAAGTTGCAATGAAATTTTAAATGAGAGTCAGGGATGGAAATTCGATCATTAAGGTTACGAAAAGTTCTAAAATGGTACTAAACATGAAATTTGGTATGAGAATTAAGGTTGGAAACTAAGTTTGATGTATAAAGGTGGTCTTGGAAATATGTTCTAAGTGTGCGAACTGTACTAAATTGTACTAAATTTTCAACAGTTTTATTTATAGTGAACAGATGAGGCTGCACTTTTGTATTGGGGTCCCCGTTTATGCTAGGTTTGTGATAAGTGGTGGTTCTGGAAATGTGTACTACAAATGCACGAAAAGTACTAAATAGTAATAATATTTGGTATTGGGTGAGCAGAGAGTGGCTGAATTCTGAAATTTTGTATTAGGGTCGCTGTTCATGTGTGGCCTGGACAAATGGAGATGGTTTCGGAAATGTGTACTATATTTGAAGGAAATGCAATGAATGGTATTATATGTTTGGTATTGGGATAGAAATAAAACTTGAGTTTTGATATTTAGATTATTGATGGTATCTCTGTTTAAGATTTTGCGCTGTTTTGTACAAAAAGTTTTAAATGGTTCTATGTTTACCACTGGGTAAAGGGATAGGGCTGGACTTCCGAAATTTGATATTGAGCTATTTGTTGGTAACTGGGATAGATATATGAAGATGGTTTTGGAAATGTGTCCTATGTTTGTTTGACATGGCACTAAATTTTGGTATTGGGTGAGGGAATAGGGAATCCTCAAATTTTATATTGAGGTCACTACTAGTATCTGGAATTAAGATATGGACGTGGTTTTGAAAATGTGTACTACAATTGTACGAACAATAATAAATGTTAATAATTTTGGTATTGGGTGAAGGGATGAAAGTGAAATTTGGGTCGCAATTTATGTGTAGCTTGGACATATGGAGGTGGTTTCGGAAATGTGTACTATATTTGTACGAAAGGTAATAAATGGTATTCTATGTTTGGTATTGGTTGAAGGTACTGAAACAAAATTTTTAGTTTTGATATTTAATATTTATTGAGTAATGATTTTTCAAATATCCTTCTTGGTAAATTTTGGTATAAAAGGTAAATATTTTCTTCATCATTCTTTCCGAAAAAAGTGAAAACTTAAATAGTAGGAAATATCTGAAAATTTAGTACAATGTATGAAGTATTAATTGTGCATATTAAGTATTAAGTATGCCTAATGCGAACTGTTGGAACGAACTTAAAATTTTAAGGACGGGCACTTGCTATTTAAATATACAGACTTATTTTTTAGAAATACTTTTCCAAAAAATCGACCGAAACGTAGAGTATTCCGAATCCTGTGTAAAGCGTGGGGAGTTCCAATGTTGTGTTGTCGCTCTAAAGAATGGTTTTATGTTTATAGAGGACAATTCATAGGTCCTCTGCGTAATGAGAGCATGTGAAAGGTTTATATATAATCGATATAAAAAATATATAATCGATTTACAGGAGAGCATCAAA